AATCAACGGAGAATTATGTCAATTGATTTCGTAGTTAGATAATACCTCAAGGGTACCCATGCAATTTTCCCTAATACACATGGTAATACACGAATCTGTGTATAATTTTCTCTAACACTCTCGTTCATGATTCTAAGCAAGAAAGCAAAGGCTGTCTATGTACTATGCTTCCAGACTTCCAGTCATCCATATGCAAAAGATCCAGTACAAAACATAACACGAATACATGGAAAAAAATTTACTATAGCCCGTACCAAGCATTATGGAAACTTGAACAAGCTGAGTATGGAAACAGTTAAAAATTTGAGCACTCAATACATTTACAAGTAAAAATTTGTATGTGTGGCAGAGAGGATACACCACCATAAGTAAGCACGCATAAATTTTCCGTCAAAGAAATAAATGAAAAGGAAGAAGTTACTAGATATACATTTAGTAGAAGTTTAAAGGCTGAAAAAATTGGTCACCAGTAAAAAAGTTCATATTGTACCACCTGCAATCATTCATCTAAGCTCCTTATGTTCGATTCTGGAGATATAGTCCTCCTCTATGTGTCGGGTGAGCAATGAAATGCCATAATGAGATGCACTTGAAGCAGTAAAATAGGATGTCACCGTGAGTTGAGCAAACTTTGGAAGTGCATAACCTGTACATTAAAATATCAACAGTTCATTTAAAAGCGAGAAAACTAATCCTTCCATTATAAAAAGATGTACCAAAAAACAAGCTGTAGATGTTTCCATAGGAACTCAAAATTAGCACTTAAAGATTTTCATCTAATGCAAATTTATGTTTAACTATTTGTATTAGGCAGTGAGCATTGGCATCTTCTTTGGTTCATATACTTAAGGTGATTCTTTGTTTATAAAATAAATAAACTAACAAAGGTCAAAATTATTAAATGAACAAATGAAGATGATGCATACCTCCAAAAGCAGCACTAGCAGCGGAAAACATAAGCAGGGGAGGAAGCTGCCAAATTGAAATGAAAACGGAATTGAGACATGTAGTGAAAAAAAATTAAATGAATAAAAAATAAAAGCAAAAGAAAAGTCATCGAGCTGAAGAAGGTTGAGTTCACACCCCAATGACAAATGGAAGGCACTTTGGCCCTTTCACGTTCTTCTGGAAATATGGAATTCCTGCAGGAACGTGCACAAATTTAGACATGAACTGAGAAATAAAATTGGACAAACATGGTAAGGAGTCATTTGAGGTACCTGTATTGAACCCATGAACTGCACTAAGCATCCCACCAATCCCGGATCCAGCCTAATCAATACATCAGAAAATAATCAAAACGAAAAAAAGAATGATGTTCTTTATAGTTTTAAGCATCCGCATATAAGATATTAAAATTCACCCCAATTCAGAACATTTGGAAAAAGGAGAAAGTTAGAATGAAGTGAAGACAACATTTAAAAGTTAAACCTCCTAAATAAATTACTAAATTCATGAATTCATCAAAAAGGCATCCAAGACAGGTTAAAATAAGTACACAGAGCTCAGCGTGTTAAAGCTGCAATTATGCATGACTTTAAACCAATCCAGCTTTCTATTATGACCAAAGTAAAACGTAGATGTTGTACTGATCGTGATTCAATTATTTAAGATATTTATGCAGTCGCTACAAAACTACCCTTATCCACAGGTTACAGCTTTAGTATAATTTTCGAGCATCATTTTGTTATCCACATAGTGCTCCAAAACGCTTTAAGTATTCAATGTTTCGATTAACCAAAAAAATTCTCCAAAACCAATTACACAAACTGAATTCACACCCAAACATCCCTCTATCAAACTAATGTAAATCATGTAGGGTCAGTACAATTCATTAAAATAAATAGGCAAAAACAGGGAAGAGCTAATTTGAACAACTGGAAGAATATAACACAACTACGAAAGCCCTTTGCAGGATAATATTTTACATAACTATCAAAGAACGGACCAAACACCATTAAGAAACCATTGAACTCAAACAATTAAACACACATACCATAGACATGGCATCGTGTAAAACCGGGGCGACTTTCCATTCCGAACTTTCCTGTCCACAAAATTCAACACAAATATGAAGTAACGTATATATCAATTCAGTTGGCCATACAAACATCACACAGACAACTAACGCACGTAATAATATATCACAGACACAGACAGATGCATACTTTGCTTGGGTTCAACAGAGAAAGACAACGGGGGCATCGGGCCGAGCCGAGGCCCGGTTTCAGGGTTGGATCATGGTGCAGGTTCCCTCTTCGAAGCTTCTCTTCGTAGACTTCTCGAGTCCCCATTTTTCCACACTTGACACTATTTCAATCGACAAAATTTTCAGCTCATTAGGTGTTTTATAAATAATCTACGGAGCTTTTGGCTGTGGTGTAGCCCAAATGTACTTGAATGATATCTAATATTCAGTAGAAGTGTGAATTTTCAAATATAGAGAAAATAAAGAGTGAAAGCTTGTAGAATCTGTGTGTAATATAACATTAAGCAAAATAACATGTGAAGCAATTGCTTTCAGCTCCAATACAATGTCAACACATATATCTAAGAAAATCTTATGTAGACATAAAATACATATAGGTGTACTGAAAGGGTGAAAATCAACTCCAAACAAAACAATAGCCTTGCTGCAAAACTACACACACACACTTCACCGAAATCAATATTTAAAACTGCCAACAAGATTCAAGAGACAACAGGTTTCACGCGGTACAAGTTTCATAGAGTTGCGGTAGCCCCAAGGCTGGGTACGGGTCGCCCTCGTTGTTAAGCCCGTTACCTACTTTCCCGGCACCGTCTCATGAGATAATTTAGGTATTTGTAATTTACGCGGACTAACAAACAATTTAATAATAGATTCATAGAGTATTACCGGAAGAAGTGGTCGGTAGCAGGTTATCCGGAGGGAGAAATGAAAATGAAAAGAGCAGAACGAGAGCACAAAATGAAAATGAAAGTAAGAGAGGACAGCGGCGGTGTCTAAAAAGTAAAAACCAAATGCTGTAGGGCTAGGGATGGCAATGGGGCAGGTCGGACCGGGTAGTTCAGTACCCGGACCTGCCCCGAAACCGTAGGCCCGTGCCCCGACCTGGCCCGTGCCCCGCCACGGGTCCATGAAGGCCGCCCCGCGACCTAGCCCGCACCGGGGCAGGTCGCCCCGACCTGGCCCGCCCTTTTTTTTTCCTACGGTTCAAAAATAAAAAGAGTTGCAAGACCAAAATTGAAACAAAACATAAAATGAGCAGATACAGAAAAAACATATTCACCTTATACTAAACTCCAACAAAACAAACATATAAACTAGGGATGATAACAGTAATTATTGATTTCAGAGAGTAAACAAATAAACTCTAACATAACAAACATATCAACCTTATACAGTAAGCATGTATACAATTAATAATTTTAACTAATTTATTCTAGATTTGTGGATTTAGTAAAAGAGGGATCCTGATTCCTGAGATTCGATTTAATTACGGAAAATAAAATCAGCATACCTTGAAACTTCCAAATATCCCCTTTACTTCTGCAATTAACTAACTAATGGCCTAAGAAATCGTTGGCAATTACTGATACACAATTGAATTTCTGTCAAGGCGGCGAGGCGGGACGGTGTGACGGAGGAGAGGTGAGACGGTGGCTAGTGAGAGAGACGAGATATACGGTGTGACAGTGGGAGAGGCGAGACGGTGTGACGGTGTCGGAGGAGAGGCAGACGGTGGCTGGTGGGCTTGACCGATGGGGTGAATTTGAGAAGATGGAGGTCGACTGGTCGAGTTCGCACGAAGAGGAGAGCGCAACGCGTGATCGTTTATGGATTCCACTAGTTTTTATTTGGTTAAAATGATTGAAAGTGATGGTTAGTTAAAATTATATGAGTGGATGAATAGTGAATTAAAGTTGATTTGATGTGTAAGAATAATTGGTTGATATTATTTAATTATATTGGTAATATTGAAGATAGTGGAGTTGAATTAAAGTTGAGTTAAATTTGAATTTTGATTAATTTTTTTACTATTCAATTTATATCCAATCGCCCCCAAAGGCCATTGGATTTTTCTGAAAATGAAAACTTAGTTGGTAAATTAGTATTATGTATTAAATTGTATATATATTATATTATAATATAATATATAAACATATATAATTGG